CAACCAGCCTAAGCTGGTTTTAGCAGGTTTTTTTGTTTACGGAATTAACTGGTTTTAGCTGGTTTTAACTGTATCAGCATAGAAACGTGCAAACAACATGCTAGTAACTTTGCTAATCATGTTAACATGCTAATCATGCTAGAAACAGGCTAGCAACATGCTAGTAACTTGCTAATCATGCTAGAAACAAGCTAGCAAACATGCTAGTAACTTGCTAATTGTGCTAGCAACATGCTAATAGCTTGCTAATCATGCTAGCAACATGCTAGTGACTTTGCTAATAATGCTAGCAACATGCTATTAACATGCTAATCATGCTAGAAACATGCTAGCAACATGCTGTTAACATGCTAATAACTTGCTAATCATGCTAGCAACATGCTAATCATGCTAGAATCATGCTAACATAGGGCTGGACGATATGGCCAAAATTTATATCACAATATATTTCTTAATTTTGGTCGGTACGATATAATTCCGATATCGATATGAACACTATTAAAAAAAGCCTCATAAAAACTGGCAAGAACACCCACAACAGATTCTGCAAAATGAATTTTCCAAGTCTATGAAACCTCCTTCTATAAAACTATATAATATTTAAGAAAAAAAACAGCACAAATAATGTTCACCTTATATCAAACTATATGCTGACATACACACTACCAGTCAAAAGTTTTTGAACAGAAAGATTTTTAATGTTTTTTAAAGAATTCTCTTCTGCTCACCAAGCCTGCATTTATTTGATCCAAAATACAGCAAAAACAGTAACATTTTGAAATATTTTTACTATTTAAAATAACTGCTTTCTATTTGAAAATATAATTTATTCCTGTGATTTCAAAGCTGAATTTTTAGTATCATTACTCCAGTCACACGATCCTTCAGAAATCATTCTAATATTCTGATTTGCTGCTCAAAAACATGTATTATTATGATGTTGAAAACAAATGAGTAGATTTCTTTCAGGTTTCTTTGATGAATAGAAAGTTCAGAAGAACAGCATTTATCTGAAATAGAAATATTTTGTAACATTATAATCTTCTTGATCAATTTAAATAATCCTTGCTAAATAAAAGTATTAAAAATAAAATAAAATTGCAGCTCTAAATAAAATTTCCATAATTTCTTTCCCCCCCAAAATTATACTGACACCAAGCTTTTGAATGGAATAGTGTATAATGTTATAAAAGCTTTTTATTTCAGATAAATGCTGATCTTTGGATCTTTCTATTCATCAAAAAAAATGTTCTCAACTGTTTTAAATATTGATAATCAGCAAATTGGCATATTAGAATGATTTCTGAAGATTTAAAATAACTGCTTTCAAATAGAAAGCAGTTATTTTAAATAGTAAAAATAATACAAAATGTTACTGTTTTGCTGTACTTTGGATCAAATAAATGCAGCCTTGGTGAGCAGAAGAGAATTCTTAAAAACAAAACAAAAAAAAAACATTAAAAATCTTACTGTTCAAAAACTTTCGACGGTAGTGTAGGCTGATTATTCTTATAGATTGAAACAAGTGTGCTTCGTTTTGATTTTGAAACGTGCAGTGCTCATGTTTATTCAACGAAGTCAAACGCCACAAATAAATCAATGTATGGGAAACACTGGTAATGTATATCGGAAATGTGTTTAAAAATCATATAACCGTTATTGAAAAAAATTATATCGCGATACATATTGATATTGAATTATTGTCCAGCCCTATGCTAACAACACACTAGTAACAAGCTAACCATGATAGCAACATGCTAGTAACTGGCTAATCATGTTAGAAACATGCTAGCATTATGCTAGCAACATGCTAATCATGCTAGAATCATGCTAGCAAAATGCTAGTAACTTGCTAATCATGGTAAAAACATGCTAGTAACATGTTAAGCATGCTAGCAACATGTTAACCATGTTAGAAACATGCTAATCATGCTAGCAACATGTTAGTAACATGCTATTCACAGTAGCAACATGCTAATCATGCTAAAAACATGTTAGCAACATGGTTGTCATGCTAGAAACAGCCTAGCAACCACCCCAGGTACCCTAGCAATATGTTTTATATCTATTTTTCTGATAGACTGTATTGCCTTGAAAACATTCAAACTTTAATCTTTAAAACTATTTTAACATTCAAACTACTTCAAACTGAAAACTTTCAGACTGCAAGCTGTTAAAACTACTTCAAACTTTCTGGCTAGACTTTTTCTACAAACTTTACTCATCTACTTTATTTTTATTGCCATATCAGCATACATACATATA